TTTCGATTTGCAACAAAACCCGTTCGCTTGTGCCATTAATTGGTGAGCATTCACATCCCCATTGTAACACAATTCCACAATCTCTTTTATTGTAGAACCTCCAGCTCCCAACACACTGCCTGACTTTCCAAATCTTTCGTCCAATAAAACCATCAAATTCTAAAATTAATCATTCAATACAAATAACACATAAAAAATGAATCACTAGTCACGATGACACAAATTCTTTCTTACAATCGCAGTGAAATATCAGCAAAATTTCTATTGGAACCAGATGTTACCCATATAGCTCCAATGTACTGCACCGATGCACAATATGAAAAGAGCACGTCATACGATAATGTATCACGCATGTCAATTTCCTTTGCTTGTGTTCGCGACCCTTTCTCCAATAGAGAATATTCGGTCGGATTTGTCCCAATCGCATATTACATATTCGTTATAGACGATATATTACCTTGTCTCTAAAACTTTCCAATAACAATATTGAAGTATTGGAGTAAACGAATAGGGTTCAATAACGCGATTTGTCTCATTGTAAAGTGAAAAAAACTTGTTACATTTTTCTCTTTGTAATGTATTTGTTAAAGATGCATTTACATAGATTTGTCAATCAAAAACAAATATCCAAGCTATATCAAAATGGGTACTTCTAAAAAGGAAAAATAGAAACAAGAAACGAAGGCACTGTAAAAAAAGTATCTGCTCTCAATATTGACAGCAAAAGAAGCGATGTGTTTTCCCAATAGCTTCTTCACTTTCTTTCTTTCTTTACATTATTATATTATTCATTTTATAGAATAGTGGATTCATAGAGACGATTTCTTTCCAGCAAGAAATACTCTATATTATGTTTTTCTCTTTTCAATAAATATCCACTTGGGTACGTAATTAACAACATATACTAGTGTTAGTCAGAGGAAATAAGTAAAAACCATTAAACTGTTTAAAACTCAACAATTTCGTATTGATTAAAATGTCAGTATTTCCTTGGCTGTTCGGGTGACGCCGCGACCATGGGGAAGATGCCAACGTTTCGGTCGCCATTCTGCAACCTTCCTCAGGGTTAGATGCGTCATTACGCCCTCAGGAAGGTCGCAGAAAGGCGACCGAAGCGCCATGTAAATAAATTTCACAATACTAACTGAAATACGCATTTCGAGGGGCTTACGCTCGCGAGCTATACACTGGAGCGTGTGCTTAGAGTAATTTCAGTAAGCAGGTGAAACATTTACCATACACTTTCTCTGAGGTTGCCAGGGAAAGAAAAGGAAATACTGCAATTTGAATAGAAAACTACTATTTACAAATGAAATATGAAACTGACAAAGATGTTTCAAAGCATCAACTCACGTCAGTACATTGCCTCGGACCGGGTTGGAGTCCCAACGGTGGCAGGTTTTTCGACTCTAGTTTGTCAGCTACATCGAAATCAGCCACTGTCTGGAGGAGAATTCGGGCGGCCGCTGCTCTGATCGGGAGTTTTACGTGATTTCTCCGATCAATACCCGGTGAATGCCGGAGCAGTACCCTAACAAATGAACCACGGACTGCGCGCGATTTTTCCTTCCTCTTCCTTGTCCTATCCTTTCCCCTTACACTAGCATGCACCACACTCCACACATGGCGGGAGACCGGTGGGGAGCTTAGAGCTCTTCCCGGCTGTGATGGTTAAGATCAACACCAGGCGAATGCCGGAGCAGTACCCTAACAAACGGGTCACGGACTGCGCGCGGTTTTTCCTTCCTCTTCCTTGTCCTATCCTCATCCCTTACATACAAACACAGTAACATGCACTACACTACCACACATGCTGAGAAACCGGTCAGGAACTTAGAACTTGCCCCGGTTGGTTCGTGGTTGGAGCAAATGCCCGTTAGCAGACCCAGGTCCGCGCGGCAAATGTGATTGGCTGTTGCTAGAAAATATTCCGATGTCGAACATACAAACACGAATATTGTTACTAATTTGTATTATCACTTTAGAACTAATTTCATGAAACAATGAATTATAACGCAGTTGAGTAACTTCAGTTGGTGTCCCCCAGGGCAAACTAATGGTATCAGCCCCCCATCAGGACTAGTTTATAGATTATTTAATACAATACAAGTATATTTGCACGTATCATGTATTTAAAGTGTAAGGAAAACCTGTATATAATTCAGAATAATTGAAACATATTTTTAAATAAATCATTAAAATTATATAATTCCTACTAAAAAATTTGCAAATTTTCGCACCCCTAAAGTGGTGTCATCCGGGGCGGGTCAGTACGCCCCCTCCCCCTGCTCTCCCCTACCAGCTCCACTGTTGTAACATCCATCTACTTGTTACGACCGCTACACTTAGCAAAAATGACTAAAAATAGTGGAACGCGACGTTTCAATGAGAGTATGAGCGTTAGTCAAAAGCGTTGAACGAATAAATCATGTATTTCGCTTTTTGTGCTTTCGTCCTTGGTCATAAAAATAAATAAAAAACTCATTTTGTTAAAAACTGTAGCACTATACTATAAGTACAGTACATAAGGCACAGTAAATAAATAATTTGGATTATGATTGTAGGAAATTATTAATAGTACTCGTTATTTTTCATGCAGTATCGAAAACATCCGACATTTTGTATAAACGTGTGAATTGGAATGGAACTTATCCTATTCACATACAATATAATATAATTTCACTGAAGTGAAACTAAATATGGTTCGAAGATTTTTCCCCTTAACAAATGTTCATATAATATATATTATTAGTAATAGATTGTAATTAACTGTAATAAAAGCCCTAAACGTAAAAAGAACATTAAATTGGTTTTATTTATTGCAATTATTGAACATTAATATTCATGAATGTAATGAAATGCATGAGAGATTCAGTCTAGAATTATTTTTGTGCTGAACCAACATTCCAGAAGCGTTGAAAACTTAATACAGCAAGCGAATACCTCGCAAATATACGGCAAGGTCAGCAATTGAAATATGCAGGTTTCTGCACAAGTTATATACCGTTATCTGTTTCGCGAGGTTTCCATGAAGAAAACTGAAAACCATCAAATGTCACTCTCCCCCCGTAAGTTCATCAGCTTATCAAAAAGAAGAAATGAACCATTTTCACTGGTATCGTAGGACACTAAATCAGGTCGAAACTCGTTTGTAACGCGGACTTCACTGAGCACCAGATTCGTCGATGGTTCACACGCCATTAAATAGCACATCACAAGGTCGCGGAAGGAAGTGTGGACATGGAAACTTTTAATCGATTCTAATATTTTATAATTATAATATAATTATTTAAATATTATATAATAATAATAATAATAATAATAATAAGAAGAAGAAGAAGAAGAAGAAGAAGAAGAAGAAGGAGAAGAAGGAGACAAATGAGAAGAAGAAGACGAAGAAGAAGACGACGAAGAAGACGAAGAAGAAGAAGACGACGAAGAAGAAGACGAAGACGAAGAAGACGAAGACGAAGACGAAGACGAAGACGAAGACGAAGAAGACGAAGACGAAGACGAAGACGAAGACGAAGACGAAGAAGAAGACGACGACGAAGGAGGAGGAGGAGGAGGAGGAGGAGGAGGAGAAGGAGAAGAAGAAGAAGAAGAATGAGAAGTTAAGATTTGTGCAAAGTAAACTATAGGAATTCCCGTAATTTTTGAGAACTAATTGTGGGTGGATAAATTCTTATAGTTCACGTTTGAATACAAAGGTAAGTAAATCGACGAATTTAACATTATCAGCCACAATTCCAAATATATGTGACAGAATGGCTGTTACTTAAGGCTCAGAGGCGAATTAAGAATTTATTTCCGTGGGCGGGGGGGCGGGC